CATTTTTACGGCGCCAATTACCCCGATACTTATCGGCATCGCTACTGTAGAAGAAATCGGGATTCCCCAGCAGTTTTCCCCGCGCGACCGACATACGTCGGCCAGATGTGTTCTAAGCATTCGCACTTAGAACCATCTGACAGTCTGCAATAGATATGGAATAGTGTTTTTGTTGAGCAGGAGTAAGTGAATTTTTTCAAGATATTATTACCCTATTCGTATGAAAAATTTTTGATAAATTTGCTAATAACAGAATTCCAACCTGAATATTCATGAATGGCTTATCGAAATATCCCCTTTAAAATTTAACAATATTTGTTCTAAAATGAAACAACTATAATGATCAATGAAAATTGCTTTTAAAACAAGTATTAGTTTGTCCGTCTAAAATCGCGCAAAGCGAAATTAAAGTGATTGAAGCTCGCAGTCAGTGGTGCTCTAATTTTTATCCAATTATCTAATGAAACGTAAATAAGAGTCAGCTGCGCAGGTAATATTCTATCTTTCAAATTGATGATACCAAAAAAAGTCATCAGCTCGGCGCCAATTGCAAAAAAAAAAAGGGAGCGGTAAGAGCGAAAAGCAGAGCTAAAAGAGAAAGCGAGAGAGTCATACAGGTGGCTAGCCCTGAAGCGTCGAAGCGAATGATATGCACCACAGCCGGGCAAAGCCAACGTCGGCTTTAATACGGCTGGGTAATCCGTTTAAAGCAGACGCGCGGCGCGACCCCTCGCCGCCATAAAGCTCGGCGTGATAATGGTTGATTTTGCGTTTAGTGGTTTCGTTTGAAAGCCCTCTTACACACGCGCGCTCACAGCTACGCGCCTAATCCATAAATTTTTATTGTGGTCAGCTCGCACGTTCGAGTGCCTACGATCGCTATCATTTGCTTTCTCTCCCTCTCTATATGTTTAGCTCCTTCATTGTGAATGACACTTTCAAAAGGAGGCTTATACGTGATCTGTTAGCTTTTTATAAAATTTTTAAGCATGAAAATTTCACAACATTTTAATGATAAGATTTTAATTAATATTCTATATAATCGAATTTTTTTCTCATCTGCTTGAAACATTCTGACGTAAAAGCAGAAATTCATGAAAGATATCTGTTTTCGCAAATCCAACCAAACTATACAGAATAACGATATTTTTTTTTAGCATTCTGTACTGCTGCAATATTGAAACCGTTGATTAACTAGTCTTTTTCTCTACAACTCAAGAGATTGATGGAAAGAAAAAAAAAAGTAGTTAAATCTGAAGTTCTCGTTCAGCACATTAATCCAAGCTAGGTAAAAGATACGAGGAGCTGAAAGCTTGGGCACTTGGCGCGTCCTCATGAAACGAGCAATTGGCGGCTCGTAAAATCGCGGTCGTGGCCCTCCCTTTAGACGGACGGTAGGTTGTCGTCGATAAATTAAACTTGCTCGCCGCTGCCTGATTTAGAACGGACCAGTCGAGCGCGCTTGATTTTTTAACGACCCGCTTCGCTGCACATTACCGACAACTTTTCAAATTTATACTTTTCCTGTAGAATTGAATCGATTCATTAATGTATTATATATATTCTATCATCGGAGTATTTCATTAGCATATGTCATATATTTCATCAACATCATATCATATAACATTCTTCAAGTACTGTCAATACTAAATTATTCGTTGATACTTATGATTCATTTTGATTATTATAATTGTCTTGTTATGATCATATAACTAACAATATTTGTGCTTATTTTATTATTCGATTATAATTAAATTCTCCAGAATAATGAAAGCACTTCATTGAATAAAAAATAAAAACCGAAATTTCGGCAAACCTTGATTGCTGCTAATAAAATAAGTACATTAATGGAGGCATCCACAAATGAAATTAGTATTAACTACAATATCTGTACAAAAGGCATATCCCAACGGCCTCTTACACTTTGGTCTACGGTACATGTATAGCTGTGAGAAGCGCGGGTCGAATAAATAAATTCGCCGGGTGAAAAGTGAGCCCCGCGTGCGATACATCAACGGGGCGTTGCTCGGCGCGTTTGTCACGTACTCGTGTGCTCCTGCAGGCTACCGACGTTTTATCGCGCTACTCTCTTCTCTTTTTCCTCCTCCTCCCGCTCCATCTTTTTGCGAACATACCTTTTGGATTCTTTGCCTGCGGGGTATTCGGTATGCCGCGCACAAACCTGCTGCGACGAGATGTTGTCTGATGCGTGTATTTTTTCTCCGCTTTTTATTTTTAACTTTGACGTTAACCGGACTTAAAGTTTTAACGCAAACTGTTTTTTGAGTAGATGGAATAACATTTGGAAGTATGTTACGAGTTGCATAAAATCAATATATTCATTTCTTTATCTGTATGAAATTGAAAATGGAAATTTAACAAGACTTTCAAGTCGAGTGCCATGTCAAATGAATGCAAAAATACTCATTTTTTCTACACTTTCTAGATATCCGTTGAAGATTTGCTTCACTAAAAACATTCCCGATCAGTTGTATAAAATTCAAGTGAAAAAATTCAATTATTCTAACTTAATAATAAATAACACATATGTATTTAATTATGAAGATTAAGTGGAGCAATACTGATGTTTTAAGAGTGATAAATTATGATAAATTTAACTAGATTAAAATCATCGTAAAAATTCTTATTGGATCCTTATCAATCTAAATTATTATTTTGAAAATATATAGCAAGAAAGTGAATCAAAGCATACTTTATTAACATCAAATAACATAAATATTATTTTTCTTTCTTTAAATCCCATGATTTCGAAAGAATTCACTAGAGTGCATTAATTTTAAAATAATGTTACTCTATTTTTTTTAAGCATAGAAGAAATTCAAATAAATTATTCTATCTTTTTACTCTAAGAAAATTTTTATTCAAAATACTACTATATTGATATCAAAGGTTCAAGAAAATCTATTGGAAATACTTTACCAATTAACTCTATACGTTTATAAAATATAAAAAAAATTCTCATATAAATATTCTATCAACAAATAAAATAAATACACATGAGAATGTACTACAATTTTACTCTGTTGATTTACGTGAAAATGTAAAGCAGCTATTCTAGCATTTACTGAGTAATGAACTTGGATTCTATAATGCTAAAGAATGAAAGCCTTCGGTTCACTTTTTGCTCAGTAAGGACTTATCCTCAAGAGTTGAGACTTAAGATTTCTTACTGAGAGGAGTTTGTTAAGAACAGATATTGAATAAAAAAAATCTCAGAAAAATAAAATCTCATAAATAATTTTTATATTTTCGCAATAACTGTTTCACGTATACATGGTAGACTTTTTATTTGACTTTTGAATTCACAGTGGACATATCTATAGCGATGGTTGTAAGTACACGTTCTAGATTTGATGGTTAAGAATATATAAATATACTAATCTATTCTCACACCTAATCTTTCATTACTCTTACCTGAAATGATTTTACGAATGACTGGTTACGACATGCACGTTCTTCACAAATACTACGAGATCGTGACACCTACATGATAGACGATGTTACGTTTTATTCTATATTCGTACAAGACGCGTACTCTCTTGAGTGGCATTCGTCCTAATTAGTTCAACAGTTCTGTACTTTACAAATAAATAACTATACACATTTCCAGTATATTACATCGTTTCATATTCCCATACAATATGCACCTCACATATCAAACTTTGCACGAATAAGCGATTTCACTTTTTTATCTGTTTTACAGATTCAAAACTTCGCCTTTCTCTCCTCTTTGCTACGAATTCATACACTTGACAAAGTTGTACGGGACTACCCTTTTTTGTCTTAAGCACGATTAAAATTCCCTTTTGAATATCTCATTAATGGCATTGAATACGTAAAGGCCCAGAAACCTGAGGGTCGAACTTCACGATTCGGTTTATAATTAAAAGTCATAAAGGCATGTTGGAGATGGTAGTGCAAACCAAGTTAGTGAAAGTTAAAAATTAGAAGTTTTTTTGCAAGAATCATATGTATTTCAGCTTGCAAAGGATTTTCGTGAATATTAAAGCGACTTCAAAGGTGCTATTAATAAAGTGCGATAAAAGTGTGATTTTCAAAAAATTCTTTATATAGGTATGGTGTAGATTTTAAATGAGTAATAATACTAACAGTTGTGTTACTTTACTGCATAAGAGTACTTTTCAATTATTCTGATTGGAGAAAAATTGCTTTTTATTTCTCACGATAATAAGACCGTACTACTTCCGTCAATCAAAACATTAAAAATTAAAATATTATTTGAACTAGAATCAGACCCCGTAATTAATTGGAAATCCAACAAGGGTTATTCGAAAGAGTCACGCTCGTTTTCCTAATGAATAGAAAATCACGAACTACCTTAACATTACCGCTTCTAACTTCTAATACCTGTCCCACAAATACATCAGGCGAACACGCAATCCAGTTGGAATCAATTCGCTTCGACCATTCGATTAATCGAATCGTCCAAGAGAGGGGAGGAGGGCGTCGCGCAAGTCCATGCAAATGAAGGGAAGTTCGGTTACGCCCTCGCCTCGGGAAAATTGTAGGAGCGAAAGAAAAAAAGGCGCAGCCGGTTATCTAAGCTCTCTCTAGTTGTGGCTTGGCTATTTTCTCTCATTCTTTTTTCCTCGACCGTACTATTTTCCAGAGCGAGCGAAGTTCGCCGAATTAGCCAGTGATAGCATCGGAATTTTCGTTTTAATTTGGAAAAGGCGGTATTCATATAAGCTTGGATAAGTTAATTGGCGTTTGTAGAATTAGCTGAATTTAATTTAAATTTAATTTAGATAAGAAATGAATTGTACGTATTTCTATCGTAGCAGTAAAATCTAGTGGTTTTGGTAAATTTGTTTGTCAAACTTGCTTAAACGAACGAGCACAATTGAAAATATGAAATTGAATTTGACGTATGCTCGGCGCACAATTAACTCGAAAACAGATATCAAGAGAGGGTAACTCGATCTACTTTTCGAGATACCAATTAACGAGCTACTTACTTTTCTTGTCCACAGAACGCAACTTGGCCGTAAATTCTGAAACAAAAAGAAAAAAACAAATTAGAGAGCTTGTCAACGAGAAAAAAATCGTAAATCAAAGCAGTTTTGTATTACAGCTAATTATCTTGAGTTCCAAATTATTTCCGTCTCTCAAATAATTAATTGGTCCTAAATTACCTTTGAGAACAATTACAATTCTAGTGTGATTACAGTTTGTATCGTAATTAGTAGTTTTAGCGTCGATTAGAATAATGTTTACATTACTAAAACACTGTATTGGATAGATGAAATCATATCGTGTTTATGCGCAATCTACATAAATCATATATTAATTATGTAAGATAAAATCAGTGATTTCATGATATGCAAATAATCATCGATTTAAACGTCAATGTCTCCTCACGATACAAGTTGAAATCCATCAGGTAATTATTTTCACGGATAAAACGGCAAACATTGTCGCGATGTCAGTTTTGACGTACTACGACTCAATATAATTACAAACAGAATAAGAATAACATCGGAGCAATCGACACGAATATTACACTTGCTCAACCATAAAATAGGCACTTGACCCTCTTATTCGTGGCGCATCGGCAAAGAATGACGTATATTCCTCACGACCAAAGTGTCTCCATTAAAAACTTTTTCGAACGCAATTTTTGAGTGCAGCTATAAGTCAAATAGCTCCGTAGTACTATATACAATTTTCCAATTTTCTTCAGACGCTTTTTCCTCGAGCACTCGTAAATCAAACAAGTCTCGAGTGAACATAAAAAAAGAGAAATTTTCATTCCTAGCATATGTAACATCCGCACACAGACATGAGTTTTAAAAGTGCAGGCAGCATTCGAACGATGACAGATGCCGAGCTTTTAACCGTGGAACTTTTGCCTCTTTTCACTACTACTAGCCATGTACACGCCACTTCACCTCTACTACTCTCTGCACGATTCGTGTGCCTTTGAATTATGTACTTCAAATGTCCTTTTTGATGCTTGAAAATTAGCCTCCCCGATTTTTAATATTTCACTTTCTTTTACGGGAAAAGCAGAAATTAATGCGTTGACATTTGCTTTTAATTTGCTCGAATGAACTTGTTAATTGACCAAGTTGTTCGTCCACGATAAAATAACTTTAAAAAGTTTATAGATAATTAACTTTTAAAGCACTTATCAATGGCTCTATACGTATGAAGTTGAAACGTTATTCGTGTACACTCTTCAAAATGTCGTTTTGGAAATTCGATAATAATAGAATTCAATATAATCGCAAAAATGAACTTCCTCATCACCATTATATTATTACGATTATTGCTCACTTTGTAATTATAATATTAATAAGGACGATCGTTCAAAAAATCATTTATATCAATCGATCTAAGTGTTATCATAATAAATAAGTTTTCAGATTAAAAAGTGCTATCCGCTATCAACGAACACTAACGGAATACAGATGCGTGCAAGATGAGGTCACAGTGATTCTACTTAAAGATAATTTTGCAGCCAGTATATGGATTACTGCGCTCTAAGCATAGTTAGATTTTTATGACTGCCATTATTCTTTGTATAATAACTACTTTTAGTAGTTCTAGTAAAAAATACTATTTGAAATTATGATAAAATTATAACCTTTCAATTATCACTTAATTCACTTTAAAGTAGAACATAAACAAATTAATACTGTAGCTTTTGTATTCAATTTTAGATATTTAAAAAGTTTTCTAAAAATAAATTCGACAGTTTATTCGAATCTCATGAAACATGAAGATCTGATTGATCAATTATGTAAATTTACTCTGGAAATTCTAATAATAAGAATTACTATTGATCTTCTATTAATGACATTCAGAGAGTAAGATTTACGAATCAACCATCAAGTCGTCGCGACTATTTATAGTAGTCGCGAGTACTCACGTCGACGGACTGAACCTCTCTGATAAGTACCACTGATTATAGGGAATTCACTAATTGTAGAAAAATATGAACAGAATAACGACTTTAAAAAGTATATTTACATTTCCATTGGAATTGATCTACCAGTGAGAATGTAAAACATAAATTTGTTGAGTTCGTTCAATGAATTAATTGATTTATTAATTTCTTTTACTTGAAAATTGTAATTGAAAGCTTAAATTTGATTTATGAAATGCAATAATATTCCATTTTAACATATTTTATAAGTACGATTTAGATATATTTATTATTTTTTTTTATTATTTATTATTTAATTATTTAATTATTTATTAATTTTTTTTAGGGGTATAAAAATAATATTCAAACTGAAGGTTTGTAATGTATTAAATATTGTAAAAAAATTTTGCTTCGATAAAAGTAGATTTTTTATCACTCAAAAGACCAAACAAATTTCTCTTATGCCAAACGTTTCCCAAACAATATCGCGAAAAAAGCGGTAAAATGAAAAAGTTCGAGGTTCCAATCGAAGAGAGAGAAAGAACTTGTTTCGCCTTCCGCATAGTAGCAATCATCAACAAAAGAAGAATAGAAAATCAATTCCAGCAGAATGAACATTGTTGCGGCAAATCAAGGACGCTCGTCTTTTCACATCGACAAATTTCGAATTGCAAAAAAGAAGCTTTGACCCATAAACTCATAGAGTTCTCTCCAAGAAAAGACACTCTTTAAGCATATGACCTCGGTATTTCTTTGTTCATCTTCATTAGCCGACGTTCGATGCCATAACGAGAATTTTTGATCATCGCATGAACAATCTTGAGGTCTTTAATGCGCGCAAAGCTTGATTGGAAAGAGAGATACGGCCTTCATTGCAAAATGACACGCAGAAACCTTTTATAGGGCAATATCATCCACCTCGAAGAACTATATAAAAATACAAAGAACAAAAAGAGCAAAGATGGAACCTTCTATTGATTATTATTTATTCTTAAAAAATATGTTTTTTAATAGTTCTACTAATTTTGTCACTAATTCGATCGATGGATTTTTCAATTAGATAGGATTTTTTCTCGACTTATGAATAACAAGAATATCGAGAATCATACAAAATTTAATTAGATGTTTAAAATTGCTAATTTTTATTTTTTTACAATTAAGAGTTTCAATTATTCAAGCTTATGTATTTTCTCTTTTAATAACATGATCTGAGACTAATTATGAAATAAAACTTTTTTCAACCATTTTATTTAGTAAAATATAGTTCTTGACCTATTTCAAAGTTATAAAAATAATCATTGGATTCTGATGAAATTTTTCCAATAACGTAATGATTACTGAAGTCTTCGGAAAGTTAGAATTGTTATTATTTATAAAAGTTTGCCCGATTATATAAAGTTCGTTTGAAATATTCTACATATCCCGAAGTTGTCAAATGCAAAATTAATTTATGATAGTTATTCTATTGATCTAATAATTCAAAGCAATTTGCAATCTAATCACCAAGTAGCCAAGTAGTGCACAGTATATGATTGATTGACCAGTACATCAATCCAAGTTCCCTTTCTCTCTCAGCGAGTCAATTAGTCGGTAGTTCTGCACACATATATATATATATATATATATATATATATATATATATATATAGCCCAGGCTAATTTTGTAATGACTGGGATAGTAAAACTAGCTCGAAGTGCGCCACTCACATTATCAAACTTGCTGATTCGCTGTCAAGCGCAGTCATTACGAGGACCGATCGTAATGCGATTTCTCGCACAACCGGCAACGCCAATGACGAATGCGCACTGCGGCCTGATGAATATTCAAAATGAGTCAACGCTGTTCTCTCGAATACATGTACACGTGCTCCTGCCGTTCTTTCACACGATTACAGAGAGAGAGTGAGCGAGAGAGACAGAGAGAGAGAGAGAGAGAGAGAGAGAGAGAGAGAGAGAGAGAGAGAGAGAGAGAGAGAGAGAGAGAGAGAGAGAGAGAGATCCTAGTTCACGGTTTGATCGAACAGTTTAATTTGCGAGCGGTGAAAGGAACCAAACAACACCTGAGCTCCCTAAGGTAGATCTTATGGGAATTGCGATATCACTTACTTTGAATGTATATGGGCCAACGTTGCATTCGTTTGAAAAACCCTTCTGAGATTAAAAATGTAACATTAATTCGTCAATCAGATACACAGCGAAAATTGCTCAGAAATAAGTTAATAATTTTACAATTTACACATAACTATTCTATTTCACAATTAGTAAATTGAAAATATCACTGAGTATCTTCGTTGAACCCGACATAAATTTTTCATTTGATTAATTTTGTTGTTTATTTATATTCATCCAACTCTACGCAAAATATCAATGATCATTTTCTACCAAAGCAAGTGATTAATATGTAGCGATAACAGACTGATAGGATATCGATCACTTGACATTCGATAATCCAGAACTACCCATTACACAAAGCTATCACACGTGTCACTCACATTTTTTTCCTTACGTTCAAAAAAGATAAGACGGATTCGGTAGCCGTTAACGCGTGTATAGGCGAGCCTTTTTAAAACTTGCTTCGGTGAAAAATCGAACGGACGAAGCGGAAAAAGAAAGGGGGAGGAAGAGAGAGAGAGAAGAGAGAGAGAGAGAGAGAGAGAGAGAGGAGGGCGCGAACTGGAGCGGAGAGCTCTAAAAGAACAATTTCGACAAGAGATCGAAGCACGATATCACACGTCGCTTGTAAGGAGTCTTTAATGTATAAGGTCTCCGTGGACCCTTGGAGAGCTTAGAAATTTACGTGAGTCTAACTTTCTTTGTAGACACGTATAGTTTTTGAAATAAATGGTAGTGTTCATTGCAAATTCTTTTTATATATGAACCCTATGACATAAATATAAAAATGTTTATTAACATGTTGATAATACTATCGTTTGTTTTTCTGAACAATTCTGAACATTTGTAAAATATTCACACTTTTTGAATATTCTCGAAAATTATGAATTACTGAAATAGCTTTAGTTGTGAATAACATGGCATTTTTTATGAGATAGAAAACAAAATCAATAAAAAGTATGATCAATACATAATTTACGTACACTACCTTCAACATGTTAATGCATTAAAA